CCAGGTGGCTCAAGGGGTGAAGACGCAACCTGTAAAACTGTCCACAGACTCTGCAGGGCAAGTTCGATTCCCTGGCCGGCCAGGGAGCAACCCACGTGGCGCAGCAGACCTCTCCTGACTCGCCCGCTGCTCCCCTCTGCAGTGTACTTAGGTCAATCTGCCTGTTCTATTCCCCACTCTGTCTCTGGTGAATCCTCTCACCCCCACCAACACCTCTGGCCTGTACCCCAGCTCTTGTATGCATAAATAAATAAATAAATCTTAAAACAAAAACATAGACAGTCCCCATCACATGTCTGTGTTCCTTTAAATAAATAAATAAATAAAATGTAAGCAGGTCAAACACTATGTCCAGATGGAGGTGTTTAAACAGTCACAATGTTTGTAGCATGCCTGGAGCTCAGTAGGTGGACAGGTAATACCATGAGTCTGACTTTATTTAGTCATTTTTGTTTAGCACTTAAGAGCTGAATGGAATTAGGTTTCATAGCAATAATCCCTTGAGGCTCAATTTCCTCATTTTTAAATAGGGATAATACCCACATTACTGTTGAGAAACTAGAGACAATGTATGTAAAATTCTAGCACAGTATCTGGCAAAATGGTGGGTATTAGTCATACTTAGTATTTACTCAATGGTTTTAGTTTTACTCATAATAACCCAAGCAGCCAATTCTATACTAAAATAACCTGGTTTCCACAAATTAAATTCACATGAAAAATAATTGATCATTTAAGGCAACACAGCATGGTGGTTAAGTGGGGATTCTTAATCATAAACAGCCTTAACTTGACTGATTCCCCGCTGTGTGATTTTTAGGAAAGTTACATAGCATCATTTTTCTTCCATTCCCTCGATTATAACATGAGAGTACAAGAACTATATTGTAGGACTGTGGTGAAAATTAAATCAGTTCATATTTATTGAGATCTTAGAATATTGCCTGGAACATAGTAGGGTTATATTAAGTCTTTGTTTAAATAAGCTTTTATATAGACTTCAACACATCATTTTCAAATGAGCGACTGATAGTAATATGTTAGATAATATTCCTAACAAGGGGAACAATTTTTCCTTTAAGTCATCCATATACTTTTTAATGCATAGCGAAATTCAAATGTAGTTCAAAATCAAGCACCCAGTTTACACATCTAAGTAAGTCCCCAGTTCACAGATGGAAGGATCCTGACTGAAAAGGAAGATAGATTCTTTCAGAGGACATTTCTTGTTTCGCAAAAAATATACAATATGAATTGTTCCCCCAAATCAGATCCAGAGAGACCAGTAGCCATTTCTCAGAGTAAGTAAACACTGGAGAAAAGGGAACACCTAGTGCTTCTGCGGGTTGCCAGATATTTTGAATCTAATACCCAGAGCTCCAAAATACCCCAATGGCCTTATGAAGATTAGTGTTAGATGGAATCTTTTGCAATGGATTTGATGGGATATATTGATTTTTACGGCCATTTCCTCACTTACAGAATATGTTAAAAGAATAAATATATTTACTATCTGGCAGAATCCCCATATTGGTTATGATTCATGGGGTAAAAGCTAGTTTATTTTATTTTTTTAGTAAATGCTACTTTAATAGAAAAAGACTATAGATAGAGATCCTTGACCACTCCATGTTGTTTGGGCTCCACCTCTTCACCCTCAACTGCCATTCTTCTACTATTTCCAAGGTAATAAACCAAGAGCAATAGCAGGTAAATGTATAGATTGGGGATATTTAACTTGCTTCATTGGATAGCAAAAATTAAACAGGTCTTAGAAGATGACTAAAGTTTTTTGCAAACAATGTGGTGATTGTACTAATTATAGCTAAGGTTCTACATATGGTTTCTTGACTGGAGTAAATAAACATTGCACTCTTAACCTAAAAAAGACTCTTCAAGTTCTATCACTAAAGATAATCAAAAGCAGCTTGCCTTTATACAGCAGGGATTGTGTAAGCAGTTAAACTCAGGGCCAGGCAAGCTCTCCTACTTTCTTCTCTAATGTGGTCTGGAGGCTTTGATCATCTTAATATGCCATACTAGGTGGTTATACAGGATTCTGACCAGAAACAGATTGCATACTCAAATTGGATAATTTATAATTGTTTAATAAAGGTAGTATTTACAGGGAAGTGATGGGAAACACTAAGTCATTACCACCTTCATATTTACATTGTGTTGAATGTGTCTGCCTAACATCTATGAACTTTCAGAACCTCAGAATTAATCACCTTATTTGGAAATAGGGCTTTTAGATGTAATCAAAGCAAATATGAGGTCATACTCAATTAGGGTGGGTCCAACCCAATTAAAAGAGAAAAGAGAGTCACAAACACAGATGCATGGGGAGAATACCATGTGATGATAGAGCCAGGGATTGGACTGGTACAGCTACAAACCAAGAAACACCAAGGGTTGCAGGCAAGGACTTAAGGTACAGGCCAGAGGTGTGGGGGTTGAGAGGATTCACCAGAGACAGAATGAGGAACACAACAGGCAGATCCACTGAAATACACTGCTGAGGGGAGCAGCAGGTGATCCAGGAGAGGTCTGCTGTGCCATGTGGGTAGCTCCCTGGCTGGGGATTGAACTCGTGCTGCAGTGGCTGTGGATAGCCTCATAGGTTGCCTCTTAACCCCCTGCGCCACCAGTGAGGCCCCCTATTTCTGTTTTTCAATTCACCTGGCTTTGGTACTTGTTTACAGCAGCCCTAGCAAATGGCTGTAGGAAAAGGTAGCTGAAAGGAACTGTGGCCTTCTGGTGAGGACTGCAACCAGACTGCCGCAATCCCAAGGGAAGGGAAATCCCAGGGGAATAAAACCCTGACCTCAAACATTCCTCATGTGTGATCAGTACCTGCCATTGGCCAAACACAACTAGGAGTCAAGGGGCAAGGAACACATTGAGGAATTCAATGAACCCATCTTGTGGCACACACAATGGGAGCAAAAGGGGTGGGTGCATCTGGGATGAAAATGGAAAATATTCAGGATAGTGGTCTGTTACACTATTATATATTAACTGTGCCTGGTGAGCAGGACCTGGCCAATATATGCTTTCAGCACCCCAGAGGGTAGGAGATAAACCCATGATAATTCAGCTACTGCTATATTGATGACATTTCTAGTCTGGGGCAAATTAAGATACTTCCCTCTTAAGTGAGAGACAAGTTGCTGTACCTATGAATTTCCACTGCGAAGAAAGAGGAACAAGACTGATAGACCCCTTTAGATTTTGGAGACAACATATTACCATGTTTGATCATGCTGATTCAATTTATTTGTAAGTATCCAGTCGTCAGATTGCCAGTGTTAAATGGAACTTGAAATATGAAAAACCTCTCCAGTAGGTCCCGGCCACAGAGCCCACATGTTTTCCTGCCATTTAGGTGTTAGGAAACAACTAGTAGGACTGGAATTATCTATGACAGACAGATATGTCACACAAGGAGAATCACAGTATGGGCCTCTACGATTTTACAGTAAGGTCATTCCTTATTCTGCTCAAACTTCTTCAATCAAAACGTAGCTCTGTCTTGCCATTGGGCCCTGACCATGACTGAAATGCCTGACCACAGGACACTGAGTAACTTTGAGTCTTGAATTGTCCATTCATCATTTCACATTGAATTGTAAACTGTTACTGCATTAACTTTCCATTCCACTCCAAGTAAAACTCAAAGTTTGGAATTTCTATCCCTGATGTATAATAGTTTTCTCATTGGATTCTGATTATTTACTTTATTTATTAGTATCATTATTATTATTTTGGTTGTTCTTAGCGCCACACCACTTGATTATTTACTTAAAAGTTTCCTAGATCTCTCAGAATAGAAATCAAAGACTGTAGCTCCACACCCACAGGGTGTGGGCCAGCTTCCTCACTGGTTTCAACTGTTTATTCAAAAGTCATAGTAGGTGAGCCTTATATTTCCCCAGACCACTGATAACCAGCTGTCATGCCACATGTTGTTACTTATTTATCTTGTTTATTGTCTCTCTCCCTCCAAAGAATGAACAACAAAGGTTTTTTTGTCTATTTTTTTGACAGGTACCTTCAGTGCCTGGAACAGGATCTGGGAAGGGTAGCCATTCAGTAGCTCCTGTTTGAATGAATGAAGTGGCAGCTCACCACCCTCTGAGCAGAAAGGCAAAGATGTGGTTTTATATGTTCGTGTGAGTCTAGCATTTAACTGCATACACTATGCATTCAATAAGAATTAACCCTGGGGAGATGGGTCAGTTCTTAGATAGCTGTAATGGGTAGAGATCAAGAAAGAGCAATTTAACTGACCTTTCTGATTTCCACCTCATTCTCCTCTTTCATCTTCATTGCCTGGAATCACTTAGACAAGTGAAAATAAGGACTCTGGACTGTCCATTGGCAATTAGACATGATAGCAGAGCACAACTGAGGGAGCATATGGTGCTTAAAACAAATTTTTGGCACATGCTAGTCATTTATTTGTGTATGTCACTAAAAGGCCAAAGTGCCAAGAACTGAGACTTTGCCTAGATTTGGCTGAAGGAAAGGAGCAGTGGCCTGTGAAGGTGGTATTGTGGAATGTGCATTTTAGAAGCCACTGTTGTAATGCAGTTGGAGGTGGAATGTGAGTTTGGAGACTTAATGGAAGAAGCATGGGAAGGAAGTTCTAAGAGCATGAGAGGGAGGGAGAGCCAGAGAGAAGGAAGGGAGGAAAGGAAAGTGGGTGAAGAAAAAGGTGGGGGGAGTTCTGTTGGAGACCCCACCAAGGCAATCATCTAGGCAAATAAACTTTTGGGCTACTACCTAGAGCTTTCAGAAAGACTGACTTCCGTGAAGACACGTGGTTTGTTTTAAGGCCGCAGGTCGGGTCTTGCCGCTGGGCTGTGTCCTCCGCCCGGCCGGGACAGGCCTGGCCCGCAGGAGGGTGGGTGTGTGCTGGACAGCTGTCACCGAAGGAGGGGCCTGAGGGGAGCGCGGGGCCCAGGCTCTTCCAGGCCACCTGGGCAAAGGCGGCGGCGGCGGGATGGCCGAGGCGCAGCCGGGCCCTTCTGGGCTGCAGCTCAGCGCACTGCCCGACCACTCGCCGCTGCTGCAGCCCAGCCTGGCCGAGCTGCGGCGCCGGGCCGCGGAGGCGGGCGATCGGCTGGTGCCGCCGCAGCTCACAGACCCCTTTCTGCTTCGGTTCCTGCGCGCCCGGGACTTCGACCTCGACCTGGCCTGGAGGGTAAGGCATCCCGGCTGCGCTCCGCTCTGCGGACTGGACTGGGCACCCCCGGATTTGCCCCGACCTCCGCGCAAACCCAAGTTACAAGCTGGACTCGGGTGGGAATGCGCGGGTAAAGCTGTGCGAGGCTGGTGGTTGAGGAATCCCGCGCAGGTCCTTCCAGTTCCTCTGCGCCACTGGGGCAGGGAGTCTAGAAAAAGTTGCAGCTCTCTTGATTGATGGCTCTTCTGATCTCAAACTAGAATTATGCCTTAGGAAAGTCTCACGAAGCTATAAAGTGCGGGGCATCAGCCTCTTCTCTCCCTGGCGGGAAGTGGGTGACATGAAAAAGCCTAGACTCACCACATCTTAGCATATATAATAACTCCCTATGTGGTGGGGAAAATGAAATTGCCAGTAAAACTGAAAGTCTAAAATAAGATTCTGGCCCCCTCCCCCCCAAAAATATTATGTCTTACATGTCTAAACAGTAAAATGGACCTGTGTTTTTTGAGTGGAAAGTGAAGATGGGTTTGTACGTTTTATGATTCCAATTATGTTAGTTGGTTGAGATCGAGATGGGGAGATAGAAATCAGGAGTAGGACTCCGTGCTTGAGTTCTGTCACTTAGGCTCAGCATCCTCATCTGATAAATAACGGTGCGGATGCTTATCTCGTTGACTGGTTTGGAGGATTGAACATTAACCAATGTCATAGGACAAGACGTACCCAACACAGAGCCTGACACGAAGTGTGCACTCAGCTGTTGAAACTGAGCTAGTTTCAACCCTTTCTCCAAACGTCTTGCTCAAAATCTCACTTACAGTTGGGAGGCAGGGAAAGTATACCTTGACTCTGTGTTTTTTGTTGTTCCTAATTTATTTTAATGAAAAAGTAAAGAGTATGGATGGGAAATACATAATAAAGTGCAAAGTAAGTTTCTCAAAGGAACTTTGTAAAGGAAAAATATTCTTCACCCCAAACCTGTTTGTAGTCCTCCACCCACAGGCAGTAACCATAACCTCTTCTTATTTTCGCTCCAGAAACAGTATATGTTTATTCAGCATGTGTAGTTTTACATTTTGCCTTTTTCTTACCTGATTAGTCATAAAACTCATTCTTTGTCAAAATATATACATATATTTTATTCTTTTGGGGGCTGTGTACTATTCCATTGTACAAATATATTATATCAAAATATATTAACCAATCCCCTGTGATTGGACATGGAAATTATCATGAGCCAATGACAACACTGCAGCTGGTGTTCACTCCAGTAGTTGTTTGCTGAACTACAATTTGCCTAACAGTGATACACCACCCCCTTAATGCACAGAGGACTATTACCGTCCTTAATATTTTCACCCTTACTACTTTCACGCTTTCATGGACTGAGATGACATGTGTTCCTGCAGAATCACCATGAGTAGCACCCTGCAGGGTCAACTTGTGCGGCCATCACTGGATGCTCTGATTACCGTTTCCTGACAAGCCTTGGTCTAGCCTAGCCAGCTGTGGATTCTGCATACAAGCTAGAGTCTTAACTTTGATTACAATGTACAAGCCCACTTAATTATAATGCTTAAATCTCCACCCCCAACTGAACATAGAACACATGTAACATGTATGATGAATGACTGAGGACGCCCAGCTTCCCCTTCTTAGAAATATTCTTTCTTTGAAATGCAATACATAGCTATAATCTCCCTGAGAATATGCCCAGGAATAGAGTATATACCCCTTATAAATTCAAAAACTCATTGCAAGTTGGAAGGCCTGGTCTGGGTCCCACAGACCACCTCACTGTTGGTTTGCACAACCCAATAAATTCCTTTCTGCTTACAGCTCGAACCGGTGACTTTGTTTTTCCATTGGCATACACAAAAGCTCAGGACCTATTACAGGACTACAGAAAATGCAGTAACAGATAAATGGGGTTTCTTCCATCATCAGTTGGGTATTTTAATAGTTCTTCCTACATTTGTCTTTAGGAATATATTCCTTTTTTAGAAATTTTAAAAAAAGATTTTATTTATTTTAGCGTAGAAGAACTAGGGTGTAGGCCAGAGGTGGTGGGGTGTGGGGTGAGAGGATTCACCAGAGAAAGAGTGGGGAGCAAAACAGGCACATTGACTGAAATATACTGCTGAGGTGAGACAGGAGAGGTCTGCTGGGCCATGTGGGTTAGCTCCCTGGCCAGGAGATCAGGGATCTAACTCAGGCCAACTGATGGTGAGACTTAACCCCTAGACCACCAGGGAGGCCCTAAGAATATATTCTTATAAAATAAGTTCAATCTGCAAAATTGCTAGATGAAGTAAGATGTACATTTTAGTATTGATGAGTGAGTGTAATAACTCTCCTTCAAAAAGTTTGCTCTAATATTTGTCACTTCTATATTAAACAATGCGTCTTTTTCCATCATATTATTGCTTACATTATATCACAAGGTGGGTTAATCAGCTTTTACATATTTAAGTCAAATTTTTTTTTTCCATTTAACTGCCTGTTGTTTGTCTTTTGTACATTCACTTCCATTTTGTTTAAATAAAATATAATATATAAAATCTAATTTTTTATTTATAAAATATTTATGTAGTAAGAAAATTAGGCCTTTTTTCTGATTTGTTGTTTGTCTTTTAATAGTATATTTTCTTTCTCTTTCAAAAAAATTTCAAAAATATTTTGTGGTCAAATGTGCTGATTTGACTGCTGATTGCTTTTGGGTCTTATAATTTCTTCCCTTTTCCAAAATTGTCTTTAGTAATTTATGATCTCTCTCTTTCTCTCTCTCTCTCTGAATTTGTTGATCTACAGGGCTTTATCTTGATGTCAGGATTCTGACATTCTTTCTTTTCATTTTGTCACGTGTCTGTACAGGTGTCCCAACATCAAGAGTAATAAACTAATGCTTAGAAGCTACTAAATATGAAGACACATTCTCTGGTTTTATGAAGAGTGCTGTTAGAGTAGGGCATTAAACATAAACCTGTAGCTTAACTAAGAGTAAAACTTGAAAATGAATGGCTTTAATTTTTTCTGGGAAGTGGTATGATTTACTGCTTTCATTTTAGCTACTTTTAAATCTTTTTTTTTTTAATTTTATTTATACAAGCACTGGGTACAGTCAGAAGCATGGGAGGGTGAGAGAATCCACCAGAGCCAGAGCGGGGAGCAGAGCAGGCAGACTGACAAAGTACACTGCTGAGGGGAACAGCAGGCATGGCAGGAGAGGTCTGCCAGGGAATGAAGCGGCCCCACAAGGGGAGGCCCCATTTTAGCTACTTTTAAAGAGTTATATTTAAACAGAAGAAGGAATAAAATTCACCTCCAAACTCTGAGTTACATATGTAAATATTTTTTCTATATAATTTATTTTTTTGAATTGTTTTCATTCCACCGTGTCCTTGAGGAATTGGCTAGCAGGACTGTGTCTAAAGCCACTGGAGAGGACTCAAGTTTCTGCCTGTGAACTTTCTGCCTGATTTTTTTGCCAACTGGAAAGGAAAGGGGAAGGGTTAGAATGTGAAACTGTTTTTTTTTTTTTTTTTCATTTGCTCCACAAAGGCAGTTAATTCAATTTGAACTCTTATTTATAGTATAAAAACCCTATAGTCTGAATGTATGAAGAAAGCTTGGCAAGTTTCTAGGTTACAATGAAATTTCTCATTATTCTAATTTTTGTATTTGGAGTTATAGCAAATTAATGATTTTTTGGTATTTGCCATAGCTTGTGGGATGCCAGGTACTTTGGTCATTAGTGTTTGCATGGATTACATCATTATTTTCTCTTTGTAGAAGAAACTGAGATATAAAGCATAATTTGATGAAATCAGTCATTAAGTGGTGGAGAAGGGATATTTGAACTTAGATCTGACTTAGGGATCCTATATTCTCAAATACACACACTTGCTCCATAGTTTAAAACATGAAGAGATAAACAACTGTTAATTTCTACCTGATCTACATGTTCTTGTGTATTCCTATCTCTCACAAGTGAATAGCTCAGTTCCTTTAAAAAAAAAAAAAAAAATCTTATTTATTTATTTATTTATTCATAGAAGAACTGAGGTGTAGGCCAGAGGTGTAGTGAGTGGATTCACCAGAGACAAAGTGGGGAGCAGAACAGGTGGATCTACTGACATACACTACTGAGGGGAGCAGTGGGTGAGACAGGAGATGTCTACTGAGACTGTTTGTGGGTTAGCTCTCTGGCCAGGGATGAACTCAGGCTGCAGTGTTAATAGCGCTGAGATCAACCCCTAGGCCACTAGGGAGCCCCAGCCCATGGGATAAATTATTTTTGCTCCATGGGATAAATTTTTTTATCAGCTCATTATTTTTTAGGTTTTTCTCAAACTTTGAACTTTCAAAATTCCATGATCCTTTCTGTTAATTCCTTGCTAACTGAATTTTCTTTGGTAAAATGTGTCTTTTATAATTTCTTTGGTAAAATGATATGAGTCATGTTCAGGCTGCAGTATATTCTTGATAGTGCCTTTAAGCAAATGTGTAACTTCTCAGAGCTTTCGCTTTCATATTCATAAAATAGAGAGGCAACATTACCTCTTTGGAAGCTGTGAGAAGGAAGTGAAGTAATACCATTGAGCCTTATAAAAGTGGCACAAAAATGGTTATTGTGTTTGAAAGTACATGAAAAAATTAAGAAGAAATCTACTTTATTCAAAAGCATAGTTTAAATAAATCACCACTTTTATTATTTATTTATTCCTAGTTATGGTATAAATAGATGTCTTCCAATAATGAATATTTACTCCCAGCTAATTTCTTTGCTGTTGTGAACTTTTTAGTGGTTCTGAATTAGAGAATTGCTCAGTGTCAGTTTTCATCATTTACATACTTTATGTCAACTGCACCTTTGAGTTATCAATGGAAAAGTGATCATCAAAGATCCAGATTTTTCAATTTGCAAATGTTAGGTAAAAAAGTTAGGTCTTACAAAAATAGGGAGGTGATTTGTACTTCTTTACACAAGCCATTTATTTCCAAGTATGTGGTGCCAAGTGATTTACTAATGCATTAATCTTTTCTTTCATTCAACATTTGTAGCTACCTCTGCTGAGTAAGCCAAGGGCCCTTCTTCAATGACCTAACAGATCTCTTTAACTAAAGCAACAATTTTTTTACCATTCCACAGCAAAATAAAATCATTTCTATATAGGAGCTAATACATTGCTTCTATCTGAATCTTTTTTGCTTGAATCTGAATGAAAAGGACTATTTTTACGTGTGAGGAAATTATCAAAAAAGGAATGAGCATTGTATAATGCTTCTAACACTTATTCTGTTAATCCTAAAACAGGAGAAGGAAAAGAAATTCTTCTTATAGGCTAGAATGAATATACCAGAATATACAATGTGCCTTTTGTTCTTGTTGCTTTTGGAAACTGCTATTTAGGTCACTGGTTATTTCTTTGTTGGCAAATTTACTGACTTTTTTCTTTCTTACCTCTTGTTTGCATTTAACTCTTAGCAACTTTCTCTTTTTTAAAACAGTTATAAAAGGTAATAAATGCAGTAATAAAAAAAGAAAGACAGGAAGATACATGAGAGAGAAGGAGGGAGGGAAGGAGGGAAGGAAGGAGAGAGGGAGAGAGAGAAAGAGAGAGAAAGAGAGAAAGAAGGAAGAACGGAGGGGGGAGGGGAGAGGAAGGGAGGAGAATATAGAAGACTTTTTCCTCCCTTCCGTATATCTTTTTTTTTCAATCTAACTAGCTTCTTCCTCCCCCCACCTCATTTCCAGCCAATGACATTTCCCAATTCTTGGACTATCACCCACTACTTGGTTTTTAAAATTTGTATTTGTAATTTCTCCTCCAGATTATTACTATTTTGTGCTTATTGTTTATCATGATTATTCCAACAACTCAAATATTAAATTTGTCCAGCCCTTTCATCTGAACTTCAGTTCCACATTGCTATTAGATCTCTTTAAACTCAAAACAAATACACTGTTATATTTTAAAATTTAGAATATTTTAAAACATAAAAAGGAAAATTAAAATATAGTAAGTTTTAAATGCATTATGCTTTGAGATTTCTCTACCATACACTTGCAATGTTTATATCATTTGTATATATAGAGTAACTACAATTGTGGGTTCCTCTCGACAAAATGAGGTTCTTTTAAACCACATTTTTTTTTCAGGAACTGACATCCAAGCATATGTTAGGCTCTCTGCATGCATACCATTATTAACAAATATGATTTTTATTGTTTTTACACTGGTAGACAATGTAGTCGTGATTTCAAGATGTTCCTTTCTATCTTTGGTTTAGCTCTTTTTTGTAAGAAAGAATGTAAGAATCAATAAGATTGTATTTATCTTTAATATAAGGCTTCACTAATTCTTGGATGAGCAATTAATCTAAATAACTTTCTCTATTACAAGAATAGAGTGCTAACTACCACTCCTACGGAGCAGATATGGAGGAAACAAAATTCAAAGGAGTTAAATCATTAACCCCAGATCACACAGATAACCAGTGGCTATCAACCAGAACAAAGATTTTTCTGAAAAAGCAGCCTGGGAACTTTTCACTACAAAGCATGGCCTCTATGACCCAGTTGTCACCAGTAGTTCAGTTCCAAAGAGAACAGGAGTTTTATTCTGTTTGAGGCAATAACTCAAGTGCCTAAAACAATGCATGAACCATTGTAGATACTAAAAATATAGTTAATTTATCTGATAACTTTCTATTCTTATCAGTTCAAAAAGAGTAACGGTAGATATTTCATCCCAATATATGGTGACTTAAACCACATTTTCTTATTTGTGATTCTCCAATTTGAGCAGAACACCTCACTACTTAACATTGTATCAGATGGGAATTCCACTGAGGTCAGCCTCAGACAATTTCTTGTTCTCCATGGACTCTCTCTACATACACTGATCACTTGATTATCTTACCTAGGGGTCTGGAGGCTTCTTAAAAGTCCCAGGCTTCTTAAAACCTAGCACAGTGTCACTTGGGCCAAGGTAAGATATAAGGCCAGCCCAGATTCCTGGGGAAGGTATCAAGTGCCTTCTACCACTTCATGGAGTGGTGGCATGTGAATAGCAATGGGCAGGAATGTTAGCAGCTTTATTTGGAGACTAGCGCAAGGGACACATGAAAATTACTCTAATTTGAATTTATAATTTACTTTTACCAAATGAAATCCATGATGAAGGGAACTTTTAATCTTGGATTAAAACCCTGACATAACACATGGCAAGGACAACTGGTAATGCATCAACTTTTCTACCAGTTTAATGAAATGTTGACCATGAACGCTATCTGCAGGCATTTTTGATTTTATCTTTCAGCTACTGAAAAACTATTATAAGTGGAGAACAGAATGTCCAGAAATAAGTGCAAATCTATTGCCTCAAAGTATTCTTGGCCTTCTGAAGGCAGGCTACCATGGAGTCCTGAGAAACAGAGATCGCACTGGAAGCAAAGTTCTTATTTACCGAATCAGTAAGTCATACACTGCACTTCATTTTTATTTTTCTTGACTGGCCATATAGAAAACCTTAATGAGTCCATATTTAAGAACTTAGGTTTTTAGGTTTCAACTTAGATTTAATGTAGATTTTAGTGTCCTCTCCCCAAATATAATAAACTGGCAATTGTGAGGAAACCAATGAAAAACTTACTTCTATTCTTTCACCCAACCAACTGTATAAAAAGAAAAGAAAAAGATAACAGAAGGAAAAGGAGGAAAATATCAAGGTAAAGTGTTTCAGAGGTGATTTATAGGAACTGCAAATAAGAATTCTGAACTTAATAATATAAACACCATGAGAGCATGGATTTTGTCTATTCTGGTCACTGAAGCACCAAAAAGAGGGCCTGGCACACAGTAGGTATTTCTTAAATATTTTGAGGGCGGGTGAGTGAATGGCCAGTTGAAAAATGCCCTAAGCCACAAGCAAGGTGCTCCTTCTCTTCAACAATATGACTCAGGGCAAAAGCAACCCCCTCTCTCTCCCAAGTGTTCTCAAAACTGTATCTCCCAGGTACCTTATTCTTTTTGCTGCTTTCTCTTTTCCCCATTAGCTCTTCTTAGTGTTTCTTATAAGTTGGTGACCTATAACTTCTGCCCCTTCCTTAGATCTATGTATGATTACAAAAAGGCAAGTAATTAGGATTCGCATTGGTCCCAGCATCTTCTCATGGCCCTCTTGAAGGACAAAGAAAACTAATATTTTACAAGTAGAATCTTATGAATTGTAATGATTCAGAGACATTTACAGTATCTGACTATCTGTGAATACTCTAGGGAATTTAAAAATATTTTAGATTTGCTTTTCCTGCCTGACTCTTGATATGAGACCTGCCTGTTACTCCACTATTTGCTAGCTTGCAAGAAGACACTACATTTAACTCCTGAAAAAGTATCAGAAGACAGAATAAAATGATTCTAGATTTTTTTGCTCCAGCTATATGTCAAATAAAACTAGGTTAATTATGAGGTCATTGTGTATAAACAGACAGAAAGCCTCACAATGTCTTTTCTATTCATACAGTGCTAGGAAAGTTGAATGGATTCCTCCAAGATTCTTGGGGCAGCAAAATACTTATATTTTGTGTAGCAAATAAATCTCTGTTTTATAAAAATACAGTGTCCAGTTATATTTGAATTCAAATAAGCATATAATGGCTGCATTTTTTTTTTTTAATTTAACATTGCCTACCTGCCTGCCCATTAATGCCATTTCTGCTTGCCATGATCTGACCCGGGGCAGTGGGGGCGGGATGAGATGTGTGAATCAGAATGTCACTAACTCCTTAGCACAGGTACTTCTTGTTTTTCCTGGGTGTGGACAGCTACCTGAGTGTCTCCCTGAGTCTTCTATCCACAGGGGACAATTGTTCTAGCCATGCTATTAAGATTATGTGCTACTTGTCACTAAGGGTGTTAGAGCGAAGTCTGCCTGCTTACCCCCACACACTTCCCTTAGCAACTCTGTTGGTGACTGCAAGGCTCTGGTAATTCTTCCTAATCCAGACCTTGTTTTTTCCCATTTCTAACACCTTTTGAAGCATTCTCATGGGCATTTTTGGTTTTGATCACAGCCCCTCTGGCAGGTTTTAAGTTGTAGTTTTATCTGGTATTCAAATACAGTTTGCATTCATTCACCTCTCATGCTCTTAAAAAAGTTGTTTTTTTACTAGAAATTTGAGAAGGGAGTAAGAAGCAGGCACAAGTGTTTGATGTAATCTTTTTTCAAGTTTTTTTTTTTTCTATTGAGCCTTTAAAAAATTAGTTTCCCTTTGTAAATCTATCTGATTCTTTACATAATGCTGAGATATGATATGATATTTATTTTTTTATTTGTTTGTTTGTTTGTTTATTTTTTAGCATACTGGGACCCAAAAGTTTTCACAGCTTATGATGTATTTCGTGTAAGTCTAATCACATCCGAGCTTATTGTACAGGAGATAGAAACACAACGAAATGGTGTCAAGGTTATCTTTGATTTGGAAGGCTGGCAGTTTTCTCATGCTCTTCAAATTACCCCATCTGTAGCCAAGAGAATTGCTGCTGTTCTTACAGTGAGTATATATTTTAACTCTTTGGGATAATACTTTCAATGAATAGGTTTAAATTTAGTTATATGTTAGAAAATCAAACAAAATTTTAGAAATGATATAAAGAATTTAATATTGCCGATAAAAGTGTTACTATTTCAAAAAAGAAAGTTGCAGCAAGTTGTGGAACTATGTTCAAAATTAATACCCACAGAATTTACACATTGAAACAACCACAGAGACTTCATTTTTCTAAATGTAATTTAAAAATTTGCTCAAAAATAACACATAGTAGTGCTTCAACACATAGGTATAGTCATTTCAGAAATCACATTGGTATAGTCATTGGTATAGTCATTTCAGAAATCAAAATGTTTTTTAAATGGCTATAATCTTTAACCTAGTAATTTTACTTTTGGGAGCTTACAGGATAATCTCAAATATTGAAAGACTTTGTATATAATTATAATAGACTACCATGTGCCAGTAACTTTGCTAAGTGTTTCAAATGCATTACCACTTAATGATCACACCAAGCTTATGACACCTGATTACAATTTTTCCCACTTTTCAAATTAATTAACTATATCAACAAGGTGAAATAGCAATATACAAGCATTTTGTCAGCAGTGAAGCAAGGATTCCAGTCTAAGTCACTTAAATGTAAAAATTATGCTTGGGCCTACCTGGTGATGCAAGAGGTTAAGTCTCAGCACTATAAAGCAATCTGCATCCACTGCAGCACAGTTTTATCCCCAGCCAAGGAGGTCACGTGACCCACATGGCCCACCAGACCTCTCCTGTCTCGCATGCTGCTTCCCTTAGCAGTGTATTTCAGTCAATCTGCCTGTTCTACTCCCCACTCTGTCTCTGGTGAATCTTCTCAACTCCCACACCTCTGGCCTATACCCCAGTTCTTGTATGCATAAATAAATCTTAAAAAAAAGAAGTTATGCTTATAACTTTTGTTGGTTCCTATCTGTAAACATAGTTACTGCAACATCAATTTTGATAGAAGAAAATTATAAACAGCTTATCAGTCTAGAAGTTTAAAATATAACAATATTAATTATGATAATAGTATTATAATTTTGAAAATAAAGTCATAGTTTAAGTACTGTTAGAACAAAGTTTTAAGGGCCAATTTACCAATATGAATATATGTATATTTATACTTTGTTATTAATAACATTTCTTTATTTTCAAAAGGATTCCTTTCCACTAAAAGTTCGTGGTATCCATTTGATAAATGAGCCAATGATTTTCCATGCTGTCTTTTCTATGATTAAACCATTCCTGACTGAAAAAATTAAGGAACGGGTGAGTAAAAGCACATTGAAGTCACTATCCCTCTACACTAAACATCCAATTCAAAAAGAATAAAAACATTTAATAACTTTTGAGTATTTATCTAAGAAGACAACTACTTTTATAAATTAAAATTTCTTTTTAATTTTGAAAAGTCAAGTTAGAGAAACTGGGGAAACTGGGTGGGGGGCGTACAATGGAATATTAATGGTGGGGGCGTACAATGGAATATTGCCTCTAAAGTGTATAACAATTGTCAGAATAACAGTCTTTACACTTCCGAGAATTTATGCTATGGGAAAACTGACACAAAAGTAAAACTATATATGCTAGAAGATTCATTGAGACAAAATGTTGGAAATAAACAGGTATTCAGAGGACTATTTAAATGTTTATTTTACAATGGCACATACATACAATGGAATACAACAAGATTTGCAAAATGCATTGTAGAGTGAAATAAACAAAATACAGAAGAGTGTTTATGTATGCTTCCTTTGGTATAAAAAAAGGGAGATATCAGAATCTGTACTTAGTTATATTTGTGTAAAAATGAAATTAAATGGATTTACTATAAAGTAACCTAAGTGGTCACCTTGATAGAACCTAGTAGAGGTGTGGATGGGGTGGATAGGAATAAGGTTGGGAACAAGATATCTCACTATATATCTTTTATCTTGTTTTGATTTCTCGTGATAAGAATGCATTATTTATGCCAAAAATTGTTTTATTAGACATGTATAATTGAAAACCACAGAACCTGAGTTATGTGACTTACTGTTTTTTTTCCTCTCTCTTTTTTTAAAAATTTATTTGATATAGCCTTATCTCAGGTGAATAGATTAGATCTCTTAGGGTTTCTCAAGTGTTAAAAATAAAGTCTGGACTAAGAATGGAAAACCAGTGTTCTGTATTAATCTGTCACGGGGAATTCTTTTTTTTTTTTTTTTTTTAAAGATTTATTTATTCATGCATACAAGAACCAGGGTACAGGCCAGATGCACTGGAGGGTGAGAGGATTCACCAGAGACAAAGCTGGGAGCAGAACAGACAAATCTACTGAAATACACTGCTGAGGGGAGCAGTGGGCAAGACAGGAGAGGTCTGCCGCGCCATGTGGGATTCTCGCCGGCTGGCTGGGATTGAACCCCCGCGCTGCAGAGGCTGCAGACAGCTTCATAGCGCTGTGTTCAACCCACTGCGACACTGGGGTAGGCCCAAGCTGTCTGTTCTTTAAGAAGAACCATTCACTAAGATGGACACATCTCATTCTATATTTTTGAAAAAGTCATTTTTTTCTTTGTTCATATTTTTCTCTTCAGTATTGCTCAATAATAGCTAGACACAACCTCTTTAACTCTGAAAGACCTAAAACAAAAATTGCTATTTTGTGTTACATTCTGTACAAATAAAAATAAAAACAACAATTAACTAAACTTAATAAATATGAGAATATTAGCAAGGAGGAAGTAAAACTTAAAAATTGAGAGGTGAAAATTTTCGTGAAAGTTAATTGACGTGAAAAAGAGTAGTCAAAATGGGGAAGGAGATCCAATCTACCCAGTTTTCTCCTTTCAACATTTGGCAATACCTCATGGATGTTCTAATTTGCCCCTTCCTGAGGAGACAGAAATTCCTCTCAGCTGATAATATTTTAAACCTTTAAGAAAAAGTCAAGGATTTGGACTGGGAGGTGTCTGAGTGCAGAACAGTTGTTTTCATTCACTTTTTAATCCACATATCCTAGCACAGGATATATGCAGGTAAATGTTTGTCTTTGCAAATAGAGAAAAACTACTTATTTATCTATCTACCTGCCTACCTACCTACCTACCTACCCATGGAAAGATGTCCTTTTGATTCAAGGTTACAGCCTTTTTTTTTTTTAACTTCATGGCATTATATGATCAATTTATATACTTTAAAATATTTGAAAATTTTAGGTCCTCAGTCATTGTAACTGTCTTTTTGTTTTGTACTAGCCATGAATATCCATCAATTCAACCCTGTAAATTATTTCCCATATACCTAATTGTGTGCTCAGATATATGCTTTGAATATGAACTAATACCAAATAGCACAATTTTATCTTCTACAGACTAGGTTAGAATACATTTTTATCACCTGTAGTATAGTAGATATTTTGCTAAGAATCACTTTCCGCACATTAGTGAATAGAATGTATAAAATGTATAAAATAATTTTGTTTTAAGAATCTACTTTTGAAAGAAGAGAATAGCTTTTTATAAACCTTATGTAGTTATTTTTAATTTATTTTTAATATAGTTTTTACATCATTGTTCATTTTAAAACAATGTTTGCTTTCCCCCCCAGGTATAGTCCCCATAGAATTTCCTTCACCAACATGCACTATGCTCCTCCCTCCCTCCCACTGAGCCCTCTCCCTCCACCTCCCTGCAGGATGTCTCTGATTTATAATTGTTTTTGTTTTGTTTTGTTTTGTTTTATTATTTTTCCCCCTGAAGTCTTATTTGGTTGCCCTATAGTCCTCTTTTAAATGAAACTATCCAATATTTTTTTTTCTTATTTCACTGAGCACAATTCCTTCTAGCTCCATCTATGTTGCAGTGAAAGGCATGAGTTTATCTTTTTTGATTGCTGAATAGTATTCCATTGTGTGTATATACCACGTCTTTTTGTAAGTCTTATGTAGTTATAAGAAACCAAGTATAAGAAAACAGTTAAGTATCAGATTCATCACAGCATAATCTATATAAGTAAAATTCTTAAATTCATGAGCAGACAAATAAGTGATATAATACATATATATTCTCTTCCATCTTAGAAGTTATTATATAGATTACCTTGTGCTCTGGTGATTTTACATTGGAATTGCGTATCTTCTAAAACATTTTGACTATTTCAGATTCACATGCATGGGAACAATTACAAACAAAGTTTACTTCAGCATTTCCCAGATATTCTTCCTCTGGAATACGGCGGCGAAGAATTCTCCATGGAAGACATTTGTCAGGAGTGGACCAATTTTATAATGAAGTCTGAAAATTATCTCAGCAGCATTTCACAGACCATTCAGTGAGAAGCTACTTAATGTAAATGGCTTCCTAATTAAAAATACAGGAATGGTCTGGTTACATGAATGAAAAATATTCCATTAAACTAATTAATCAGGTTGATCATGTAAAAAATCTGATAAATTCTGGGTATTTGGGAAAATGCCTTTATTTTTAAAATACATCTCCTTAAAAATATAGGAGAGTCCTGGTTTTTACATTCGAAAGAAAATGACCTCTAAAGTAACTATCCATGAACATCTTTGTTCCTGCAAAGTTTCATTTTTAAAACAAGTTCTTTGTTTATGATAGTTTAGTAATAAATTTATAAATAATCCACTGAAAATAAATATTAGCACAAATAAACTGATGATAAAAATCTGTTAACACTGTTTGTCATGGATTTCAGGTTAGGCTATAGTGTAGATTTTTACAGTTATAAAATAGTTCATCTTATCTCAGGGAAATTCTGTTTTAGCACATATGCACAATACAGATTGAAGAGTCTATAAATTGTAAACTCATATGTAGCATCTATGGGTCTCTGAAATTATTCATGTTAATACAACAAATAGCCAAAAATAATTTAGAAAAATTTCAGGCACAGTTGATGTCTCCTTAATACTGTTTCTGCATTTTCAAACAATTCAAGACTGTCATTGACTTCTATTTTTGGTTATTCTTATCACAGCTACATGGAGATTTGGAAATGGAGCAATATTTAATTGTCTTAAACATGGGCTCTATTTTTAATTGGGCAATAACACAATTTCACAAGGCAAAAGAAATGCTCACATTTTTATATCAATGACAGTTAAATCTGGAACTTTTCCAGATATACAGATAATGTATAAAATAATTTGAATTTTATTATGAGAATATTCTAACCAAGTCCTACAGTTTACATTTACTTTAAAACTTAAAGTGGGGTGTAGCTTATTGTTAAAGAATGTTTCATTTATTGAGAAAAATATAAACTAAGTTTCATTGAAAATAAAACTTTCAATATATATTATGTTTATACTTAGTATTTTAAATTTTTTTTTAAACTTCAAAATGAAAGAACAAAGGGTACAAAATTTGTTAAATATTTTCTCAGCTTAGTTGGATTTCACTAATAATCACATTATAGTAGCTTTGTGAAAGAATATGTGAAGCGTGTTTTTCTTTATAAGAAATTATTCTAATCAGGTGAGCTGATACTTATGATTCGCTGTATGTATCTCTATGGTAAAAGTGAGATAATTGTGAATGTTCTTTAGAGAACGTGTTTGATTTTGACTTAGCATTGGGAAGCTACTTTATAATTTTGATTAAAAATTGAATTGTGCTGTCTTCTAAAAACATGTTATTCTTTATAAATCATACAATCTAAAATTGTATAACTAAAAATAACAACAGAATAAAATTATTTGAAAAAATAAACAGCAAGAAAAAGTCTGGTTTACCCAACTTTTATTCCAAGGAGGTTCTACTTCATTTACATTTGGGTACTTAAAACACTTTCTTATGACTCTGTAAAGGAATGTTTATTTTCGTTCATGAATAAGGGATAATATTTCTAAGTGCCTTTTAAATGTGACTCATTGATGATGCTAATAACAATAAATAGAATTAAATCAATAAATCAATAAAAGTACATTTCATAATGGGATATTGAAATTTTTATAAAATATAAAAATTCATTGAAGTACATTAAAAGAACAATGTGAAATAAGCAGACAATTTTATAAGGTGGCAAGATCAATAATATCAAATTGCCCATATTGCTTTACTGTAATTTGCTCCAGAAATGCCTTTTAAAAGATTAACTTGAGCATGTACTCATGATGTTAGCAAACTGCACAATAATTTATTTGTTTTAATATTGTTCCAAAGGAAATAAAGATCTTTGGCATAACTACAACTGTGTGTTTACATTTTTAAATTTGAATATTAGGCTTTCTTTTCAAAAACTGCTTTTCTTCACCAAAAAGTTTAAGAGAAACTTACCACATCTAGTTGTCCATGACACAAATGTCATTCTCTCTTTTTTTGTAATTTAATTTCTTTCTTTATATATATTTTACATCATGTGTAGTCCCCATACAATTTCCACCACCAATTCACCCATTGCCCATCACCATAATCCCTTGTGATCTTCCTGCCCTCATTTTGATTCTTCTCCCTCCCCTCTCCTGCAGAATGTCTCTGCTTTATGGTTGTATTTGGTTCCCCTATATCCCTCCTATAAGTGAAACCATCCAATAACAAATGTCATTTTCTTTTATTTTAGGCTGATTTTCCCTGCTGCTGTTTTCAGCACCAACTTCCTCTAATGTTTTTTGCTGTGCTTATAGGAGCTACAAGCTAATTTCATGTAACTAAACCATGCATAATTAAGGTGTTAAAACTTTTAAGTGAAAATAGTCAGAGTGGGTCAGTTATTCAGATTATTTGATTTTGAAACAACCTGCTACTAGCCTAGATTAGGATTTTGTCAAGCTATATATTTTCCTTATAGAAATGACACTGAAGTTCTAGACCAGATACTATCTTTGCCACTCACAAACCAAGTCAAATATACAAACAAACCGAAAACTCAACAAACTAGTAAGATGTGTTTTCAGGACACTTGTTACTGGCCTTATGTGTCGAATTTTGCCAAACTCAGTTAGAGTGGAGAAAATATAAAGATGTAAAAAGCAAACAAACAATGAAGCTGTATAAAAAAATAATGGGGCCTCCCCGGTGGTGCAGTGGGTTGAGCGCAGTGCTGTGAAGCTGGCTGCAGCCTCTGCAGCACCGGTTTGATTCCCGGCCCAGCAGGGAGATTTCCACATGGCAGGGCAGACCTCTCCTGCCTCGCCAACTGCTCCCCTCAGCAGTGTACTTTGGTCAGTCTGCCTGTTCTGCTCCCTGCTCTGTCTCTGGTGAATTCCCTCACCCTCCCATGCCTTTGGCCTGTACCCCAGTGCTTGTACAAATAAATAAAATCTTAAAAAAAAAAAAAGAAAAAAATGATGGCAGGGTCTCCTTGGTGGCACAAGGGGTTAAGCACAGCACTATGAAGCTGTCCACAGCCTCTGCAGCTCAAGTTTGATCGCAGCTGGCCAGGGAGATACCCACATGGTGCAGCAGACATTTCCTGTCTTGCCCACTGCTCCCCTTAGCAGTGTTTTCAGTCAGTCTGCCTGTTCTGTTCCCCACTCTTTCTCTGGTGAATCCTCTCACCTCCGCACCTCTGGCTTGTACCCCGGTTCTTATATGCATAATTAAATAAATCTTTAAAATAAATGATGGCAGAAATTAGGATTGGCAGCAGAACAACTCCATGAATGTTCTGGTTCATAACGACTCATGCCATTCTCCTCCCACCTCCAGACTTAGTCCTCAATTACTGCTTTTATCTCTATTCAAGTCAATGATATTAATCCATTAAGTATCTACTTTTAATAACACTGTACATTGCTTTGATTGAAATAAGTGAATTAATAAATTGAAAAATCAACCAGCTGCTACCTAGAGGAGAGAAAATATATATTCAGAATAGCAGGCAAAGTGCAGTAGAACATAATGATATTTACAGTGGTTCCATAAAGTGCTTTGGAAGTTTAACAAAAGGAAAGAATTTTCATTTGGGGTGATTGAAGATGTGTCCTTAGAGGACATGTTATTTGAAGCAGAACCTTTCAGAAGAACTTACTACTTCCAAAAGGAGCAGTAAGAACTAAGAGGAAGGATAGTCCAAGAAAAGAAGTAGCATGAGCAAAGACTTGGAGATGAGAAAGAATAGGGCATGTCTGAGAAATAAGAAATAGCTCCATAATTTCAGTAAGAGGGAGTCGTACAGGGGAGTAGGTCCTTTGTCTAGTAAGAGCCAAGTGAAGCAAAGTATGAGAGGCCCCGAATATCACTTGAAGTTACTCAAGGTGTGGATTCCTTATTTTTTGCCGGTCACTATATTAGATTCACATATATGTGTCATGCAGCCTTTGTCAAAGCCACAAGGTACATGGTACTATGCCCATCTTTACAGAAGAGAACGCAACTCTGAAATTGTCCATTCCCTGCTCAGAATCATGGAACAGATACATGCCAGACCAGAACCAGAGTGAACTCTGCTGGCCTGGATGTAAAGTCCATGCACTACACACCATGTTCCCTATAGACCTAATTCTATAGTCCTGTCTGGAAATATCTGATCCTGGCCTATTTCTTTCTTTCTTTTTTTTTTTTTAAGATTTATTTATGCATACAAGAACTGGGGTACAGGCCAGAGGTGCAGGAGGTGAGAGGATTCACCAGAGACAGGAGACAGAGTGGGACACAGAAGAGGCAGATTGACTGAAATACACTGCTGAGGGGAGAGGTGGGTGAGACAGGAGAGGTCTGCTGTGCCATGTCGGTAGCTCCCTGGGCGGGGATTGAACTTGTGCTGCAGTGGCTGTGGAGTGCTTCATAGTGCTGAGACTTAACCCTTTACACCACCAGGGAGACCCTGGCCTATTTCTATAGTGAATCATTTCTCATCCAATCTGTAGCGATAGCCTCCTCATTGGACTATTGTTCCTGCCTCTACCTAACCCTTCCTCTGCTGCCCGTTATCTTTCAGCAAGATCTCAGTCCTCTGATCTTGGAGATAGCAGTGCTATGTGCAGGGTAAATTGCGGCCTGCATCCAGACCCAGCTCATTTTCCATCCTGGCATTGCAGGACTCTGTACCCACGTAAACTCTAGACACGCAGCTTTTCCACCACTTTGAAAAACATCACCCTTTCCACATAAGACCCCTCAAAATCAGTACCCAAAAGTAGTGGGGGTGGAGTGAAGGGAGTTGAGGTATGTTTTGTGTTGATTGTTTCTTCTGCTCTAAACCCTTTTTGCTTTCTCTTACTGCTCATCTGCAAAGTCCTGTTCCCTGTCCCCTCTGTGGTGCCCTCTCTAACCCTCTCCAGTGAGAATTGTTTGCTCTTATTTGTGCTCTGGGTGGATGCCTAATAAAGGCCTTATGCTATTAACTTTATAGTGGTTTACCTGCTTGTCTCCCTATTAGAAAGTGCTCTTACTTGCAGACGCTGACTTTTTCATCTTTGTAAAATCAGTCTCCATCTGGTGTCTAACACAGGATCAATACACAGAATACAGACCCAGCTCGGGTATTTCTTGTTGCAAGTTTTGGTGACAGGCATTTGGGAGCAGCCTCAGGGCCTGAGCAGCATGATAAAGGCCTGCCTTGTGACAATGGAGACTTTCCTGGGAAGTTGGGCTGATCTCAGCCATCTGCATACAAACCCTTGGACTTGAACTAATGCCTCTGCTTTTTCTCCCTCATCCTGTATGTGAGCAGTCTTACAATGATAGGGTCTTACCTACTGGGTTTTATTTTTGTCTTAACCTCAGTAGATTTTTCTGTTTTAAGGATCTTATCTAATTTGCTTCCATTTTTTTTTGGGTCATTTTGATATTTTACTTCTTTTAATCCCCTCAACGCCCACCCCCATCCCCAACAATATAATACACACACACACACATACATACCTCCATAACAAAGACTGACCCCTATGGAGTTGTTTAGGAGAACCATTAACCATTGTTAATTAACTATTAATAAATACCTCACTGTGGGATTTGGCTTTTGTGAAGGCTTCCCACTGCAGTCAACAAGAGCACTTTTGGCAAGTTTCCCACAGCAGAGCTTGGCTGTGTACCACACTCCTCTCTTTCCCAGAGAAACATGCACCAGAAGTGATGTGAGGGGGCAGGGTCTGGGGTGTGTAATTGTTAGGCACAGGCTTCTTTGTATTCAATCTTCCCTTCCTATTCCTCAATTTCATTCCCTCATGTCAGGCCAGCCTCCTTTGAAGAGCTTCAGCCCACCCTCTGAAAGTATCTGAGCTCCAATATTACCTA